TTCCCTAATAAAGTTGCATAGGCTAATAAAACATTAGAACTCTTACAGTTTGGCCTGCATAAAGTAAGTACAGTGAGCTATGACTGGTTGTCTAAGGTTGATCAGAAATACAAGTTAGGAGTGATAGGTAAGAGGTGAATAAATAAGCGAAAAGCAAATAACTGTCCTTTGATTACTTCAGTTTTTTGATGAACAAGCAGAGACTTCATGGAGGAAAAGAAATCAAAAAGGCATTACATGAAGAAAAGTCTTAAGTACCACTGTCTGCGAAAAGACATTCCTAAAGAAAGGGGAACTGATGTATGTTTTAACTTATATAAACTAATTCCCAGGATTTGAGGAGAAACCTGGGACCTGGGGTGACTCGGCTTGAAGAGGTCAAGGCTGGAGAAAATGACAGGTTGGCAGAGTTGGATCCAAGGAGCATGGCCAATAGTCCAACAGCAGCAGCCGATGGAGTGTTGCTGCCTTAGGCTGATGTGGGCTAGTGTCCATCCTGGGGCTGTTTGACAGCAGTGAGTCTGTGATGGAAGTCACAGCAGGACTGGGATAGGCCATGATGGTCATTAGGATGAGGGGCAGCATGACAAGAGTTCAGGGGCTGAGGCTCCAGTCTGGGCAGCGTCAGGACTCTGGTCAAATGACCTGGTGTTCGAGACTGGCCCCAACTCCCAGTGTGAGCTGGAAAGAAACCCACAGCTAAAACCCAGGTAGATGGAGTAGAGTAACCCCATGCAGTGAGATGGTGGCCCTGCGGGCTCCTGGATGACGTTTCTTCTGTTCCCACCAAGATGTCACCCATGGTCAGGTCCTAGCATCTGCCCAGGACTGACAGTGTAGATGAACTCTACGTGTATACACTCTGGTTATCATTTTCCGGCTTTCCTCTTTTAAATATTTTATTATGTTGAGGGAGATGGACTTAAAAATTGTCTGAAGGGTTTTTACCATCTTTACTGCATGTAAATGAAGAATAGAAACTGATAACAAATCTCAAGTTTATCTTTTCCTGATTTCCACACCAATAACTTAGGTCCTTAAATTATACTAAAATATTAGAATTTCTACAAGTAAATTGTTATAATTGTTCCCCAACAAAAATAAACAAGAAGAAAACAAGGCGTAAAACCTCTCAGGTGATTTTTAATTTAAAAAAATTTATCAACACAACATTGTAAACTGACTATAACTCAATAAAAATAGGGAAAAATTTTAAAAAGGAAAAGAAAAACATTTAAAATTTTTTTCATTTGTGAACATTGGATATTATTTTCACTAAAAAATTTTTAGTTCCACATATACTGAAAATATTTAACTTATCATCAAACTACTCAGAATAAAATAATACAGAAAGTAAAAGCCACCTTCAATTGAATTTTAAGTATGATATTATTCAGATTTTTTTCAGTTTTGGTCTCTGAGAGCAGAATCTAAAGACGAATTCACTTTAGTGGCAAATGAAAAACTTGGTTTTAAAATAAAACAAGTAATTGCAGTTATGATTTCAATTGTCTCTACATTTTAAAGTTGTTCATGTTAGGAAACAAAGATCCAGTATGGTAAAGAAAATTCTTTTGGGTTAACATAATCTGTTAAAATACAGTAAATATTCTTTGGCAGCCCCTGAAGACGATCACATCCTAGCTCTGGGTTATTCCACCACCCGGGGGGAGGGGGCAAGATCGACAAGGAGCAAAATGCTGGCTTTCCCACGTAGCTCTGAAGAGCTATGAACTGCCTGCTTTATCAACCCAAGCCCAGGGGAAAAATAATGATATAATGAAACAATGAACGGACTATATTAATTTCTTCTCTGATGGAGCTTATTTTCAACTTCACAGGCAAACCAATCAGGGGAAAGGGATGTATAGGAAAGGGGTGGGAAAGATTTTCCTCTCACCCACCTGGCCTCTAGCACTATATACCATCACAGTTCTATATCCTATAGTAGTAATAATTTTTAAAAAATTACCAGCTTGCAGGGTGACTATGGCCATAACCGCAAAACAACTGCAGAATATTTCACCTCACAGTTCTTGAATGCCAAAAGAATATGTTCTAGAGTTTTTATTAAAGTTTTTTATGATGTACAGATTGCTGTGCGTGGAGCGAAGTTGAAGAATGGGAGTATGACTGACTTTGTCCTGTGTCCCATTTCCCACACAGAAGGACCCTGATGCTTTCTGCAGATCTAAGCACTCACCATATGTCCCATCAGCATCGACAGGTTACCCCGTGAAAGCTCAGAAGTCTTCTAGGGGAGCATTTACTGGGTGCAACCTTAATTAACTAATTACCCTGGAGCGGGGAGGGGAAAAACCTGGGAATCCAATGTAACCTTGTTACGTGAAACCTCAGTATTTGAAATGTTTCAGAGCTATCAAAAAATAAACTTTACACCAAAACGCTGTCCAAATACAAATCTCATGTTGGGAAATCTTTCATAAATAGGAATCAGACAGCAATGTTCCTACCGGGCTGTTCAGACTGGCTAAACACTCGGTTTATCGCTGTGTGCGCACTGTGTGAAGCACGTGGTGCCGTTCCCACCAAATGACACAGATTTCAAAAAATAAGTATGACTAATTAGATAAGGTAAATGACTGATGTAAAAAAGTTCCTGCAGCAAGCTCTCCGTTTGGTCATTTACACGCAGTAAAGATGATAAAACCCTTCAGAGACTATTTTTAAGTCCAACTACCTTGACATAATAAAACATTTAAGAGAGAGAAGCAGGGAAATGATAACCAGAGTGCATACACGCAGACTTCATCTGGGATAAGGAATACAGCACGCACGGAAGTGATGGAAGGGAGTAGCAGGATTATTAAGAGTAACAGGATTATTCCTCGCAAAGGTGTATATGAAAGCAGTAACGGGGAGCTAGAAAAATATATTTCTCTTTAACATCGAGTCAATTCCCATGAAAATGCAAACACCAGCTTACGTCATCTCTCCCCTCCCCACCCCCGCCCAGTTTTAACTTATTGTTACACATTAACTTCAGAGTCTCTCCTGCTGAACAAAATGGACTGTTAAAGCTTTGGAAACATCTAGGTAGCAATCAGTCTGGCTGTGACACGAAGGGAAAATCCTACTGAAATGACACCCTCTCAGAGACCCTGTCTGCCCCTGTCTCCCCCTGCTGGTGCATTTTCCATCGGGGGCGGTATTTCTGCCCCTCATGGCTGTGACTTTGGAAGCTCAATTTTGAGCTGTCCATTGGGGCCACTGGAGTTTCTAATCTGCAATTCTAGGGTTTAGTTTCTGCCCTGGGCCTGCAGTGAGGACCGGGCAGCTCCCCTGGCTGCCGTGAGCTCAGGGTGGAGGCTCCGTTGCTCTGTCCCCATCAGTTGCTGGAATCCTGCTCTGCAATCCTCCCTGCCATCCTCTCAGAGCTTTGGACCACAGACCCCTGCACATGACCTGATTTCATGGCAGCTGACAGAGCTTTCTGGAACAGGACATCACCTCCACCACAGGCTCCTTAAGGCTCAGGCTTGGACCAGAGCCCCTCACCCAGTAAGGCTGGGCCCCCACCAAGGTCAGCAGGCAGCACCTCACACTCAGCCCAGGGGGTTGCTTTTTGGTTGTTTTGCTTTTTGTTTTCTCATGGGCCTCTCCCCATCAAACAAACAAACAAACAAACAAACAAAACCCAACTTGCCAAACCTGGATTCTAAACATCTTACATCTAGGACCCAGTCACTGGTGAAGTCATACACTGTAGTCCCCAAATGTCATTCTCTCCTCCTTGGGAAATAACATTGATTTCCAGTTGTTGATACTTCCTAACTTTCTGCAAAGTGTGAGTGATTTCAGAGAAGAATGCCTTTTCTACCCAGTGGGGTGACCTGCAGTGGTATAACGCCCTGGCCTTTCTCTGCCTGCTCTCCGCCTCCTAAGCTAGGTTCCAGCAGTGAGCACCTGCCTGAGGAGTCAGCGAGAGGACCAGATCTCTTCTCACCCCTGCTTGGAGTGAGGATGACACAGCGAGCAAGATTCTGCTCTGCTCTCCTGCCCTAAATGTTGGAGAGGCAGATCTGCCCCCTGCGGGGGAAGGAGGAAGAACATGGGGACACGTGGAAACAACACAAAGGCGTAAGGGAAAACAAAATGTGCTAGTGGACAGACAGAGTCTTTCCAGGAAGGGCTGTACCTTGGCTGTGTGTGTCACCAGCCGGCCTCTAAGCTTTCTGAAAGTCAGCGTGGAGAAGGACCCTGGACTGGCTGCATGATTCCCAGTGCCCGCTGGACACGTCAACTGCTCAGAGAAGTGCAACTCTTCCCATAACTAACTGCAGAAGAAAGTTTCCCCACCGGCTCCTTACAAAGGAGGACCGAGTAATGCAGTTAGCAGCATCTTTGCACTGTCCACACAATAAGCCAACACTGAGTCGAATGTCACAGATCTGCTTCTTAACATGCCTTTAACGCAGACCAGCAGGACCACCGCAGTCAGGCAGAAGGGATTCTGATTATTTGGAGGCAAGTGGGGCAAGGAGAGCAATACCATATAATTCATGCACACATGTCCCTGACAGTATGAGTTAATCCTCTGTAGATTTAGAACAGTCCATGAGCAAATGGACTGTACACACGCATGTCCTTCAGGGAATCTTCAGGAAGCTTCTGATAGATACTGGGCAGTAATGAATTAGAGGTGATACATCCCAGAAAGTGCTTGCAATGTGGCTTCTCCATCTTCCTAATTTAATAGAGAGCCACGAAGGCTTAGTGACTCGGTGAAATAAACCACCAAGCTAAGGATAATGGTGGCATCCTCCTGGGTGAGGGGACTGAAAAGGACATGCCGTTGCTGGGAAGAGCAGCCAGAGCCCCTGCCCAGCTGCGTGCAGAGGGAGCGGGGGGGAGTGGGGGGTTGGAGGCTGCGGGCTCCATGCTGGACAGGAGGAGGGGTGTGGAGGCTGCAGCAGCACAGTGGCCTCTCTGCAGATGAAGGAAGTGTCACAGGGCATCATCCTGTGAGTGGGTCTTACCGTGGGCTGCTCTTCCTTTAAAGGCTTCATTGGACTCTTGACTCGTTTGGTCTTAAAATGCAATAAACTGATGGAGGAGGAATGTGGCCTCGAAACACCTGCACTCTTGGGCTGTGAGGGCTGCGGGGACAAAGTGGTTTCTTTCTCCTTGAGTGTTTCTCTGATGCCCTGGCACAAAAAAACCATTCTGTTATCCTCGTTTCATGCTTCAGGTCCATGCCCCTCCCTTTGCCTCCCTTGCCCTCCTCTCCTGAACTAGAATCCCAGGGCTGAAGTTTTCACCCCCAAAGGGCCTGGATCTATTCTTGCTCCCAGGCCCACCATTCCCCTTCCCCCACCCCCCACCCACTTGGCCTGATATAGTTTGCAGGAGGGGCCTGTTTTTCTGCTTCTCCCACTGATGCTCCTGTACTAAGAACATGCCAACAGATCAGTGTTTCCTGGAAGCACCTGGAAAGGTGGGGGTCTTCATGGAGTGGGGTGAGCTGTAGCTTGAGGTGTGTATCTTCTTTGTAAGGAGGCGGGAGAGCAGCAGGTAGGAATGAAGGGACAGGAGTCTGAAGGGACAGGGCACTGAGCCTAAGATCTGGCACATCAGATGGCACCTTCCACTCACTCTCTCCCCACTACTCTCCACCATTAGCCTCCTGGTCACCCATTCACCCTTCTTGCCTCACTCTTAAGCATTTTCTCCTTCAAACTAAGATGTTGGAAAGTGAAAAGCCTCGGGGTGGTATGTACAATTTCTTCAACCCAGATGCCCAAATCAAAGCTGAACAGAATAAAAAAGAAAAAAAAAAGAACTTAAAAGCAAACCTTGGTGCCTGTGGCGTCAAACTTTCTTCTCATTTCAATGTCCTCTTTCTGTTTATTAACCTGTGAGATTAAAGACCCATATCATTTGTTATCATTTGCAAAGATTAAAAAAGAGGCTTTTCAGTAAAACTTCCTTAAGCAATGAAAGAGTAGTACTTTAAACATTTCACTGCCAAAACTATTATGGGAATATAAGTTATAATCTTGAATATGAATTAGAAGAGAAAATAAATTTGTACCCAGGAAAAAAGTACTTATAAGTGAACAGGAATAGATAAAATTGTAAATATTTAAAGTCACTGGCATGTGTTTATTTCTTTAAGCATAACAGGCATTATACGAAAACATGCATTCTTTGCTTATGAGGTAATAATTTGTTTCATGTATTATTATAATAGCTATAAATCCCAGGCTTTTTAAGATATTTTTGCAGAAATTTCAGATAGTAGCCAAACTTCAGTAATTTAATGAAAAAACTTTAGCTTAAAAAGTTAATTCTAATTTCCAGGCAAAAAGGCATTTTATCAATGTGTATGTGTGTGTGTATATATATGTATATATATATATACACACTTTGATATATATTTAAATTGAGATATTATTGACATGTAACAGGTGTACAACATAATGATTCAATATTTGCATATATTACAAAATGATTACAATGAGTCTAGCTAACACCTATCATTATACATGTTATAATTTTTTCTTATATTGGGAACTTCTGCTCTCTTAGCAGCTTTCAGATAAGCAATACAGCATTATTAACAATACAGCATTATTAACTACAGTCACCATGTTGTACATTATATTCCCCTAACTTACTTTTTATTACTATAAATTTGTGCCTTCTGAACACCTTTACCCATTTAATCCCGCACCTCACACCTCTGGCAACTGTGAATCTGTTCTCTGTATCTATGAGTTTGGGTTTTGTTTTTTTTAATCCACCTATATGTGAGATCATATGGTATCTATTTTTCTCCATCTGACTTATTTCACTTAGCATAATTTCCTCAAAGCCCATCTATGTTGTTGCAAATGGCAAAAAAAAGAAAAAATTAATGCATGTTTCAATAATATTAAGTTTTTTTTCATAATATAAATTTATGAGTAATGCTAGTGATTTTAATTCTGGCTGATCTTTTTATGAAATTAAACAATGATGAGAAATACATCTAACCATTCATTTCATTGGTATCTGAACAACAACTACAACAGATTTTCAAACCTCTCTCTCACCTACTGATATAGAGCAGAATTCAACAGAAAGCAGGTCTGTCTCATGAAATCTTTCTTTTTTTTTTAAAGGTGAAAATAATGGCAAACTTTATTGGCATAAATCACAGGAACTGAAATGGGGGGAAAGCCAGGTTATAAGTTTACAGAGGAAAAAAAAAGAAAAAAAATCAAATCATCAAATAACCACTGACCCAGCGAGTGGACCTCTGAAACCCCACGCCCCCTAGGGGAAGGGCCTGGGCAGGTCACTGTAAACAGAGCAGTAAGGCCTATGGGTGGAAGTGGAGACATCAGACCTGTAGGGGGAGGGTCCTGGCTGACCTTCCCAGACCCCGGCTGCTCCCAGCCCTGCCACCAAGGAGGGACCCTCTTCAGGACCACAGCACACTCAGCCTCTGCTGTATCTGGAACCCCAGCTCTGCCTGTTTCATCCTCGGGGGAGAGCACTCTGGGGGCTTCCTGCTGTCTCAGCAGGATCCTGTCTCTCTGCCCAGAATCCTATCAGGTCCCCTTGCAACAACCTGGGCTCTTTCCCCCAGGCCTCCAGTCTCCAGGGAGGGCAGGAAATGTGGGGACATGATGCACTCAGTGGAATCAACAAGGCTAACAGTCAAAATCAGATACCAGTTCCTGAGAAGGCAGAAGACAGAGCTCCAGAGAAGCAGTGAGGAGGCTGAGAATGTTCTCTTTGTTGCCAGGAACTTCACAGGGGAGTGGACACTCCTAATAGCTTACTTGGAAGCAGCACCCCCAAAGTGTACTTCCCTCTTCTCCTCCCTCAGGAACAGGATGGATGGGGTTCGGAATTCTGGGCCCCAAAGGGCAAGACACCCTTAAGGCCAGTTTCAGTGAAGAGTTTGCTGGCCTGGGCAGTAAGGAAGAGTTTTTTGTTTTTGTTTTTTTCAGAATACAGCAGTTTATAAAGAGTCCTGGTGAGCTGTGAAGTTAAGGAAGGGGAGTCACAGAGCTGCTCCCAGTTCACCCGTTCGTGCTAAGAAAAAATAAAATACAAATTGCTTCCCCGCCCCAAGCCCTCAGTACAAGGCAAACCCCATTTACCACAGCCACCGTCACCCACAGGACCAGTGGCGGTGGACACTGGGGAAGAATACAAAAGGAAACGTCTTTAAAATCTTCAAAATCATTTTTGTATAGAGAAGTCAAAGCAACTCAGACGATATGAATTTAAACCTCAGGGCAGAAATCTATCAAAGTCTGTACAGTGTCCAGGCACGGGGTGAATGTCCCCACCTCACGCTGTCCCCGGGGATGGAGGAAGTGACTATAAAACATTAGTGCTGGAGAGAGGCCCTTCTCAGTAGAACCAGAGCAGGTATGGGGGGTGGGGGCAGTAGCCCAGGCCTGGGGAGGCTGGAAGGGCAGGAGCACACGGAACCTTCCGTGGCCCCGGGCCCGCCCAGCCTTGGATGGATAGATGGATGCTGGCATTGTCTGGAGGGAGCTTAGTCCCCCAGTACTTTCAAAACAAGGAGAATTAGGTTGAAGGGGGAGAATACGGATGAAAAGGGGCCCCCATCTGACCCTGCCTGCCCTTCCTGCTGGCTCCACTGCCGAAACACGAGGAAGGGATGGCTCCAGTGTGGGGTTCTGGCCTGGCCAGGTGGGTTGGTGGGGACACACGCAGGGTGGGGTGGGGCCCTCCAGCCTCTGCCTCTGGGGAGGGTGAAGAGCTGGCAGCCTGGGGAGAACTGCAGGAGGAGGAGGGAGGCCCAGAGGCTCTGGCAGCAGGTGACAAAAACAGGCAGGACCCCTCAGGGTCCTCATGCCATCCTGCAGCAGCCAAGGATGTGGTTCCGGTTTCGGTTGGATTTGCCCCTCCACCCCCGGGCCTCTGGGTCACAGTAGCAGTTGGGAGGCGGGGTCGGGGACGGGGGTGCAAGGAAGGGATGAGGGCGCCTAGCAGAAGAGCCAGAGGAAGCAGTTCTGACAGTAAGGCTTGTCGTTCTGCTCCTTGAAGGTGCCCTTGTTGAGCTGTTTGAGGCAGAAGGCACAAAGTGCTCCAAGTGGAACTTCTTGGCCACAGCGGTGATGCAGCGGCCCGGGATGGGCTTCTGGCAGCCACAGCACAGTGAGCCCCGCCGCTCGTGGAGAGGCTGGAAGGGCAGGAGCACAAGGGCTCACAGTAGGGCTGCCCTTCATGCTTGAAGAAGCTGCCGTTGATGAAAGGCATGAAGCAGTCCCGGCACACGAAGCACTCAGGATGCCAGAGCGTGTTGAGGGCCGAGATGTTGTTCTCCAGGATGGCCTGGGCGCCGCTGCCGCCCTTGGGCGCAAACATGTCGAAGTAATCCTTGCAGCAGTAGGCCTTGCCGTCTTTCTCGTGGAGCCCTTCAGGCCCGGAGAAGGCTCCACATTGGGCACAGAAGTGCTCCAGGTGCCACGTCCGGTCAAGGGCTGCCGCCACTTTATCCAGGATGGGCCCACTGCAGTAGTAGCAGCGCGGAGAGAAGAGGCTGTGATAGTCCTTTTCACAGCAGGGCCAGCCATCCTGCTCAGAGAAGTTCCGGGACCCGATCTCCTCCTGGCAGTGGGTGCAGATGAAGTGCTCTGGCTGCCATGTTTTCCCCATGGCAGTCACGACCTGCCCTGCAACGGGTTTCTTGCTGGCCCCGCAGACTCCCTTGGCAACTGTGGCGACTCCTAGTTTGTTCAGGTCAGACTGCAGGCTCCCCGGCATGCTGTCGAGTTGGCTCCCAGGCTTTGGGGGCCCCCCTGGGGGAGAGCTGCTCCCCATCTTCCCCTGGGCCGTGAACTTAAAATCTGACAGTGAGGCCATCAGCTCATTCAGCTCCCTGGTGGCAGAGGAGGCCGAGATGTGTGTCTGCTGCTGGCTGCCCATCTCACCCTGGTTCACAGTGATGGTGGGGACACAGCTGGGCACGGAGCTCTCCAGCTCATCCAACAGACTCCACGCTGGGCCGCACGTCCTCCAGGTCCTGGCCCCTGTTCCGCTTGGGCCTCTCTTTGGTCAGCGGCCCAGCTTTGTCCCACAGCGGGCTGTTATTCTCCGGGATGCCACAGTGGGAGCTCAGAGCACCGGGCGGTGGGGCTTGAGTTGGCCTCATCTGTGGGGAAGCCCGGGGGGTTATGCTGCACTGCATTCAGCTCCAGTAGCAGGCGGTCGAGTTCCGGAAGGTTGCTGCCCAAGGAGGAGCTCATGACGGTGGGTGACAGCTTGGCCAACTTCTGCCTGTTGGGAAAGCTGTACACGTGCTCTTCCTCACCGGCTCGGGAACACGGAGGGCCCGTGCCATCCTGGGGGATGGAGGCACTGGAAGTTTTGGCACTGGAGCCGTACACAGAGGACGGGGACTGAGGCTGCTCATGGAAAAATCGGGAGGTGCTGGGCTGCCATGGTCTAAGGGGTCAAGAATTGTGCCATTGAGGGCCTCGCTGATCAGGGGAGGCGGGACAAGGGGTGGGACAGCAATCTCCTGGTACGTGTGGTTTCCAGTTGGGTACGAGTAGGGGGTCTCCTCAGACAAAAACACGGGCTGTTTGGAGATGTGGGAAGTGGTGGACTCCAAGTCCGCCAGCAGGGCATCCAGGTCGTCCATGGCTGTGCCAGGGGCTCAGGGAACCGGCTCAGCATCGTGCTCACTGCCCATCCCCTGTCTCATGAAATCTTGGAAACAGGAAGGATAGTAACTGATGCCCAGGAGGGACTGTATTTAGAGGGTCTTGGTGAGTTTTAACTCAAGGCTGATGTTATAACTAAGCTCCATCATAATGGTTTGAAATCATTTTCTCCATATAATTATAAGAAATTGCTAAAAAAAATTAATAAGTTCTCTCTCATTCACTAAAAATACATTTACTGAGTGCACATTATATGCCGGACACTAAAAACATACATAAAGCCACATCCATCAAAGAAAACAATTGATAAATTAGAATTTAAAGTAAAAAAAATATTTTTCTCATCAAAACACAGTGTTAAGAAAATGAACAGAAAAGGCACAACTGGTGGGGAAATAGTTACAAAACATGTATCTGTCAAAAGACTGGTACCCAAGAGACAGTTTCTGTATTGTGGTGGTATGTTTAGTTTTGAAGAACCTGTCAAACTGTTTCTCTAGGTATCCAATTTGTCTGCCCTTATTCACAAATAAAATTTTAAAAACTTCAATGTTTTAGAATGGCCTTTTCTTTTGAAATAATTGTAGATTCACATGCGATTGTAAGAAATAATACAGCAAGACCTTGTGATGCTCTTTACCCAGTTTCCCCTAAAGGTAACATTTTGCAAAACTATAGTACAATATCACAATTAGGATACTGGCAATTATGATCCACCAATCTTATTCAGACTTCTCTAGTATACATTCATGCACGTACTTCTATGCAATGATATCATCTGTGTATGTTTCTCTATAACCACAGTCAAGATACAGAAGAGTACCACCACCACAGGGATCTCCCCTGCTGCCCTTTTAAAACCACATCCACCTCCTTTATTGTGCCCCCTCCCCATCCTTAACCCTGGCAACCACATTTTTAAAACTCTGTCTTTTCAAAAGAGTTATATAAATGAATCATACAAAGGTAATCTTTGGGGATTGTTTTTTTCCATTCAGCGTAATTCTTTGGATTCGTCCAGGCTGCAACTGCAGCATTAGACTATTCTTTTTTATTGCTAAGTAGTATTGCGTAGTATGGATGTACCACAGTTTAACCATTTATCTGTTTAATGACATGGGAGTTGCTTCCAGCTTTGTAAAATTGCTGTCTGCTCTTTAATGTTTGCTAGATTCTCTAATGAAACCACCCAGACCTAGAGATTCCTTTCTCAGGAGCTTTTAAATTATGGATTCAATTTTTATTATTTTTACTATTAAGATCACCTATTTTTCATCTTGGTTGAATTTTGGTAGTTACTGTTTTTTGAGGACTTGCTCCATTTTTTTCCAAGTTGTAAAATTTATGAGCAGAAAGTTGTTTGTAGTTTCCCTGAGCATCCTTCTGAAGACTTTAGTTTCTATATTGATATCCCATTTCATCCTTAATATTGGAGATGTGTGTCTTTTACCCCATCTACTTCCATGCTTTTTTAGTCTTGCTAGAAGTTTATCATTTTTATTGATTTATTTTCAAAAATGAGATCTTTATTCATAGATTTTCTCTGTTGTTTCAGTATTTTCAACTTCACTTATTTCTGCCATTATCTTCATTATTTTCTTCCTTTGCCTCTTCTTTTTCTGACTGCTTGAGGTAGGAACTTAGGTTACTGATTTAAGACCTTTTCCCTCTTCTCTGCTGTAGGTATTTAGTGATTTCCCTCTCAGCACCGTTTCTAGCTATATCTAACATGCTTGATATGTTTTATTTTTCATTCAGTTCTTTGTACCTAAAAAAAAATATATATATATATATATTGAGACTTCTTTTTAACTGATGAACTATTTGGAAGCTTATTGTTTAATTTCCAAGTGTTTAAAGATTTTCCCCTTATCTTTTGTAGTTTGATTCAATCTTGATCAGCAAACCTATTTTGCAAGATTATAGTTTTTAAAAATGCGTTCAGGTGTATTTTATGGCCCAGAATGTGGTCTATTGCAGGGAGAGTCCCGTAGGTACCAGGAGAAAAAGCATTCTGCTGTTGTTGTATAGAGTGTTCCCTATATGCCAATTAAACCCTATTGGCTGATGATGTTTCCTAGTGGAGGTTAAACAAGAGAGAAGTAAGATTATAGGAGAAGAGATAGTTAAGATGTCATAACTATGGTAATCCAGGTGAAAAATGTTGGTGGCTTGACCAGGGGATAACAGGGGCATGATGAAGATGAAGATGGGATTATGAGCTGTAATTTTAGAGATAATTAGCTAGATTTTTCCATTTGAATGAATTGATGGTGGTGATGAACAGCAAGGGAAAGAAAGAAATCAAATTCAAGATGCCTGAAACATCCAAATGTGGATGTTTAGTTGGCAAATGGAATTTTAAGGCTGGAATGTTAAGGAGAGGTGTGGACTGGAAATAAAAAGTTGGAAGTCATAAGAATACAAGTGATGTGGAATGGATAGCTCACCAAGGAAGAGGCTACAGAGAAATACAAGAGAACCCACTACACTCAGTGGAGGAAACTCAACATTTAGAAGACTCCAAAAGGAGGAAAACCAGCAAGGTAGAACAAGAATGAGACAACTGGGGTGGAGGCCTCCAAAAATCTCATCCTGTAACAGCACCAGCTTGAAGTCAGGATCTTATTACTTAAATCAGGACCAGGAGCAAATGAGGCCCTTTGACTAAGTCTATCTTGATTAGAAGACACAGGAACTGAAGAGGCAAGTTATCTGATCCCACAGCCAAGATACCATGGCAGGACACAGGATGACCTCGAAAGACCCTTGCCTTGGGTCATGGATGTATCTATTCCCACTGGAAATGTGTGATGGTTCCTAGGCACAGAAATTCAGACATGTACTTTATTAGAGTAAATATCTGGGTTATCAAAAGATCAGTTTTCTAGCTGAATGACCAAACACTGCCATGTTACATACACTAGAACTGGGCAGAGTTGAAGTGTGGCTCAGAGGGAACCCAGGCAACAAGGGAACCTGTTATGAGATCAAAGCTGACTGCAGGGACAGCTCAGTGCTGTGCCCTCAAAATGAGAAGCTAGAGTAACATGTGCAATTGCTTTCAATCTCAAGTCTGGATTTTTCCTAGAAATAAGGTGCACTGGAATGAAGTAGATGGAAAATCAGTTAAGGATAAGAGTTCAGTTATGATACTCTTCTGATGAGAACACTCTTTTTTGTTAGCTTCATGAGAAATGAAAGTTCAGGATACAAAATCTACAGATAAAAGTCAGTAGCATTTCTACACACTAATGATGAATTATCTGAGAGAGAATAAAGAAAATAACCCCATTTATAACAGCATCAAAAACAATAAAATATTTAAGAATATGTGTAACCAAGGGGGTGAAAAAATCTCTATACTGGAAAAGACACTGATGACAGAAATTGAAGAACACACAAATAAATGGAAAGAAACTTTGTGTTCATAGATTGGAAGAATCAATATTGTTAAAATATCTATATTACTCAGTCACCTATAGATTCAATATAATCCCTATCAAGATTCCAATGACACTTTTTACGGAAGTAGAAAAAACAATCCTAAAATGTATATGGAACCGTACAGACCCCAGAAAACCAAAGCAGTCCTGAGAAAGAAGAATAAAGCCAGAGGAATCACATTTTCTGATTTCAAATATATTATAAAGCTATAAAATCAAAACAGTATGGTACTAGCATTAAGAACAGAGACATAAATCAATGGAACAGCATCAAGAATATGATCAACTAATATTTGAAAGGCAGACAAAAATACTCAATGGAGAAAAGACACTCTATTCACTAATCAGTGCTGGGAAAACTGGATAGTCCCATGTAAAAGAATGCAACTAGACCCCTGTATCTGACACCTCTCACAAAAATTAACCCAAAATGGATTAAAGACTTAAATTAAAGACTGGAAGCCATAAAACTCCTAAAGAAAAACATAGGGGAAAAGCTTTTTGACATGGGTCTCAGCAATGATTTTTTTTTTGGATATGACACCTAAAACACAAGTAACAAAATAAAAAATAAACAAATTGGGACTAAATCAAACTAGAAAGCTTCTGCACAGCAAAAGAAACAATCAACAGAACGAAAAGGCAAACTACAGAATGGGAAATAACATTTGGAAACCATACATGTCATAGGGGTTAATATCCAAAATATATAAAGATCTCATACAACACAATAGCAAAAAAATCCAAATAGCCCAATTAATAAATGGGCAGATGACCTGAGTAGACATTTTTCCAAAGAAGATATTCAAATGGTCAACTGGTACTTTTATTTTCAGGAAAGTGCAAATCAAAACCACAATGAGATATCACTTCCCAATTGTTAGAATCGCCATTGTCAAAAAGGCAAGTGGTAACAAGTGTCGGCAAAGATGTGAAGGAAAGGGAACCCCTGTGCACTGTGGGAATGCAAACTGGTGTAGCCACTATGGAAAACAGTACACAGGTTTCTCAAAAAATTAAAAAGAGAAGTACCATATGATCCAGCAATCCCACTTCTGGGTATTTATCCAAAGGAATCAAAACACTAACTTGAAAAGATATATGCACACCATGCTCACTGAACCATTATTTACAATAGCCAAGACATGGAAGCAACCTAAGAGTCCACTGATAGATGTATGGATAAAGAAGATGTGGTGTATTTGTACAGTGGAATATTATCCAGCCATGGATAAAAAGGCAGTCTTGCCATTTGCAACAACATGGATGGACCTGGAGGGCATCATGCTAAGTGAAATAAGTCAGACAGAGAAAGGCAAATACGTGTGACGTATGACCTCACTTTTATGTGGAATCTTTAAAAACAACAACAA